CACTGCCTTGAGAATCTGATACAAGATCACGGCTTGATTCTTCTTAACAGCTGGACCAGGTCAGCCGCTGCCACCTTTCGGTCAGAGCAAGGTCGCACGCTCATCGACCATGTCTATGTTCGCCGTGACAAGGCGGACGTCGTCGCCCGACAGTCATGTCCGCATGATTGGTCCCTTGCCACCTGGCGAGGAGGAGGCAAACATTGGGCGGTCACAGCTTCCCTTCCCTTCCCCTCATGCCGGGCCCTGCAAAAGGCCAAGTCTACACGACCGCTCATTGATTTGGAATGTCTTCGTCAAGTGTGCCGAGACCCTACTCATCCTGGTATCCTTCGCCTTCGTGAGGCGGCCAGTGACTGGGTACACTCTCACCCATATGGCAGTGTCACTCAACTCAACACTTGTCTCTTGGACCAGGTTCGTGCCCTCTTTCCTGCACGAAGGCAACAGGGGCGAGTCGTGCCGTGGACCCAACCAACAGTCACCCTGAGTGTCAAAGCCATGTGGGAGGCTTATCATCAATGGCGTTATCGGGCACAGCATGGAAAGCGAGGCCTCTTCGATGCGTGGCGATATTATTCACACTTCCGGCGGGCGCACCAGGCTTTCCGACGACAATCCCGGCAAGCTAAAAAGCAATGGTTCAAGGCTAAAGTCTTGGAGATGGAACAAGCCTCGGCGGCGGGTGACATTCGCACTCTTTTTCGCCTCACAGGTACCCTTATGCCCAAGCAGCCCAAGCGTAAACTGCAGCTGCGCGGACCCCAGGGTGAAGTATGGACTACAAACAACAGCTGACCTGTCTGCGGAGCTTCTATCAGGACCTGTACGCGCCGTCGGATGAACCGAAGTTGCACTCTGATTCGGCACCCATGCTTCAGCTATCTCCTGAAGAGGCCCAGCAACGCCTTGCATCACTCCCCGTTGGGAAGGCTGTCCCTCCACAGTTCGCTCCAACTGCTGCCTTCCGTGCTTGTTCGGATGTTCTTGCAGGGTGGCTGAGCGAGAAGATACAGCATCTCCCGGATGTTCCGGAGGAGTGGGCGGAGTGTTGGCTTGCCTTGCTACCTAAAGTAACCTGTCCCACGCTGCCCAAACAGCTACGCCCAATTGGGCTTACTGAGCCGACAGGGCGTGCGTATGCCGGTGCTTTGCAGGATCGCCTCAGGCCATATGCGATGGCATACATTGGAGCATGGCCTCAGCTTGCCTATGTTCCCAATAGGAGCACAGGGGATGCCTTGCGTCGTGTTTTGCGTCACTGTGACTCAGTTCGCTCTTCGCAAAAACGCAGACGATACGACATCCAACAGGCCAGATGGCATTCTGTCTCTGCCTCCTCTGGGACATCCGCCAAAATCGGTGGCATTCAGGCAATTCAGGCCTCGTTCGACCTCACACAGGCGTTTGATCGCCTGGGCTGGACACTTGTCCATGAGGCACTTATAGATGCCCAAGTACCCGTTGAGTTGCGCGGTCAGCTTCTCGACTTCTACAGGCATCTGGGCTATCACTTGCGCTTTGGTGATGAGCATGCCGTGGTCCGAGCATCGCGAGGCGTTAAGCAAGGCTGCAAAGTGGCTCCATTGCTTTGGAGTTTGACCACAGGTCTGCTCATGAGACGACTTGCACGGCGCACTTCGCAGGCGTGGCTTCTTAGGGTTCTCACGGCTTTTGCCGACGACCTGCACCTTGGACAAGAGGTCCGAAGTCTTGAAATGCTTACCTTGGCGGTCCTCCGCATCGGCCATCTCATTGAGGTTCTAGAGGAGGCGCGTATGATCATCAACACTGACAAGTCTGTCATATTGATCTCTCTACCCTTCAGCTTTGATACTAAGTGGAGGCGCCGTAATCTCTGTCGTGTTGGCGATACAGTCCGCCTGCAGCTTCGCACACCTTCAGGCAGGGGATACAAGCTGCCAGTTGTCTCCCAGCACAAGTACCTAGGTGCCATCATCACCTATGAAGGGGATTGTGCCGAACATACTGTTGCTTATCGACTGCAACAGACTTGGGCTGCTTGGAGTCGTCTCCGTCCCGCACTGACCTCAGCCTCTGCCCCTGCTTTGCCAATCAGATTGCGGCTGTGGAAAGCCTGCATACCGCCCATCGCACTGTATGCTCTGGACTGCCTCCCTCTTCACCGTCGACTACTTACGCAGGTCCAGCATGCTTTAACACGCCAGCTTCGAGCGGTTGCCAGGTCACAGGCACACCTCACGCATGAGTCTACTGACAGTCTTCACCACAGGCTCGGCGTTCCTCTTGTCCAACACACTCTGTTGCAGACCGCTGTCAAGCAACTGGAACGTATGCAACATCTGCCTGCAGAAGCTCGATTCTTAGATTGCACCGCTTGTCAACAACGCGTACAGCGTCACCTGCAGGACACTTCCGGTGCCAATGCTGCTCCTACGCGTTCCGATCTACAGGACTCGCGAGTAGTCGGCTCGTCTCCTACCCCTTCTCCTTCGTGCCAGTTCCCTCCTGATGAATGGAGATGTCCTCATTGCTCATATTGCGCTGTCTCCTTTAGAATTCTTCGCGTTCACCTATCGCGTGTGCACCATGATCGTGCATGTGGCAGGAGCGACAACCAGCGCTTCCAGCGGGAGTTGCACTCCACAGGCGGGATGCCGACATGCCGACTGTGTC